GGGGTGGGGTGGGGTGAGGGGATTGTTGGTGGAGGAAGCGGCGCGATCGCTGTCCGGAGACGGTTGATGAGGGCGAAGACGGAACGATCGTGGAAATAGAGATCGGGAGGTTGTTACCTCGTGTGGAAGCGTGTGCTACGCAGACTGGAGAGAGCGTGATGGTGGCTTATTGAATTGAACCTAATCAAAAAGGGGGGGGGGCGTGGAGTGAGGAGCATCAAGCAATTAGTTCTACACCAGCTGATCTCGTTGTTTCGAATTGAGAATTATGTTATGCAGCTGACTGCTGAAATTGAAGAATTGTTTTGGTTTATTAATTTTACATTTAATTAGATTTATTTCGTATAAACCATAAAATACTACTTTTAGATTTTATCAGATTGACTGCGAAATAAAACAATACTTTCAATAGATTACTAGTAATCTATTAAATATTGCAAGTAAGATATCGAAAATCTATTTTCACCTGTTCAATATAAAATTGATTTTGTTACAGTCAGTGGTCGAAATTTAGATGAATCCAACGACTGCATTTTTTTTAACAAGTAAATAAAAATTGAAGTTTCCACCCAATGAGCTTGCAATCTATGAAACAGGCATTGTAACTGACAACCTCGTTTATCTTCTCGTGCCTCCTTCGCTGAAGCTCTTCGGCTGCGACGTGGTCGAACGGGGAAAGCGGCGAGTCGTGCTGTTATGGAGAGGGCGTGGTCAGGGGCAACAAGGAAATTCGCGCCGTCTTTGAGCGTGAGGTGGGGTGCTAGGGTCGGAAATTGCGGGTGTGAGCCGAGAGCCACGCAATTAGTGTTGCAGGCAGCCGCTCTAAAGCAAGGGAGTAGAGGTGACCTGAGAGGCGATGGCGCTGCTAGTCAAGGCACTGGAATTGTAGTGATGGTGGTAGTTCGTGTGGGCCCATGCATTTGTGCGTGCGCATGTGACTTCATGCGATTGTTTTATGTATGGGAGTATGATACGTGAAAGAAGTATTGAATACATCGAATAACACGAAGGAATATTTTTACAATAAATCTTGAGAACCTCCAACAACAGGCGTATCTTTTGTTGACTGACTGTAATCATTTCATTACGTTGTCAATCAAAATCGTAGCAATTTTTGTCACATTTAGATTTGAGATGCAGTGGACAGAGAATCTGATCGTATGGAGATAGCAAGTTTCATTGTCATGAATGGATGATTCACAGTTCGAAACAAATTGTGACAAAATTATATATACGGACAATACTACCTTAGAACGTGTTACACATGAAATGTTATTCTAATAATAAATTTACTCTTCTAAGAGAATTAGTGAACGTGCTGTCTTCAACCGTAGGTCATATTCGAGTAACAGCATTGTCAATTATTTATAAGATAAATCTTCAAACGAAATTGAAAATATTGATATATGGCAATTTCTATAGTAAAGTTATTAATTTTAAACCTGATTTCAAAATAATATAAATGTCAAAGTTGATAAAAAAAAGTGTAAAAAAACACACGTCTCTTTCTACACGTAACTTCGTCATAGACTAAAACTACAGAAGTACAAAATCAAATTATCGAGTGTGAATATACGAATACTTTAAGTAGATCAGAAAGGATCGATTGGATTCAAAATAATGTATTTTTATGACAAACAGCTTCATGGAATAGATAAACGGAACACGCAAAGGTGGCTATTCTAATTGTGTTGCGTGTTAAGGTAGTTGGGGTAACTAACCTCAGCGGAAGTATCGCCAATTTGATAAGGCTTCGCTCGCTTCCCCGACTAACATAAAACTTCCTCCAGTCCAGCCAATGCAATTTACACCGAAATGCAGATACTGTTTATCTGTTCACTTACTTCTCGTAACTACTACGGAAGTATTTCTACTTAATTACGCCCAATCCTCACGTTGTTTTATCCACATGTTGTGTGAAACTAAGAGTACTTTTTTTTTCAAATTAAAATTTCAATTGTTTAAAGAACAATGTATTTGTATGCTAATCTATATTTTTGTTCTGATATAAACGAAATTTTGTACACATAATCTCCAAAAAATTTCAAAAGTACTATGTAATCGAAATAATATAAAATACATCCATATTCCTTTCTTGCCCCTTGAAGTAAAATGTAAGTGGTTCCTCTTTCAGTTTTTTCAAGTAGTTCGAAAATAGTGAGTAAATTTAGTATCTAAAGGTAATTAAAAGTTTCTGAAAGCCCATAGATTCCCCTACTAAATATTTTAATTAATTCTGATAGCACAATTAGGTTTTGTGTAATCGCAGATGAAAATTGTTACGAAACGTTTGCCGGAAGTGCATCAATGTATCTGTTTAGTTGCCTATATCAACGATGATCATAGCACACATGGTAAGGGGGGAGGAGGTCCAGCGTGGACAAGTCGGGGAAGTGACAGAGGCATGGGTGAGGGCGGGGTAGGGCAGATATCTAAACAATTCATTTCTGTTCGTTTGTAATATTGATTGACTCATACGCCTGCAACGGAAGGTCCTTCAGGTAGTATAGAATAAAATAAGCAAAAATCTGGACTGTAGGTTAAGTAATAGATAACAAAATTGGGAAATACGCGTTCATTGCATAATAATCTATTATCCGCACCAAAGCACTACTCCCAAGCATAAATAATTCGAAAAAAGGATGTGTTCTTGTCTTATTCTGTCTGAAAATGTAGTCAAGATGGGTTCTAAGAGAAAAAATCGAAAAGGAAGTGCCGAGGCGCCGTAGTATATACAGTATTTTTTTCAGTGGAGATTTCTGATCTTCGTTTTTGTAATTTATATTTTTTCTGTCTCCATGACTGAGATGCATAATACCTGAGCATCAGGAAATTGTAATGACAATTGTGGCGATGGCGCTGAATTTAAAATACGACAAATCGGAGAACCTTAAAAATTAAGTTTTGTCCATCACGAACTGCACGTAGGTTGGCAATCGTGGTTCTGAAGGTCACGTCGGTCCGACCACCGCGCCGCGGATCGCCGCAGTTTGTTGCGCAGAATGCATCATAACTGGTGTGAGTCGCTCGCAACGAAGACGGCGAGGCGGTGCGGGGGAGTGGTAGCCGGCGGCAAACGCGCTCCGGGGCGGCGTGGGCGGAGCGAGGTGTGGAGGCGGGGCGTGGGCGGAGGAAGCGCGTCCATTAGACGCGGCGCAACGCGCGGAAACGCGCTCTAGTGCCCCAGTTTCTGCCAACAGCGGCGGCGCAGCACCCTGGGGGTAGCGCGTGGGTGGGGCGGGAGGAGAGGAGGAAAGCGAGGCGAAGCGACGAGCGCTGCACCGCAACGACGACGCGACTCTCGCCAAGGCGAAATTCGCGAGTCCCAACGGGGACAGCGTTCTCGATAGCCTATTATAGCGCTTGGATCATATTGCTGTTGGGATAATTGTAGCGCTTGGTATTATACGCGCACGTTTTGTTGAGCCCTCACCTCGCTAACTACGGTAAAACTGGGGAGAGAAGACTGAACCACTATATCAAATCTGAAGATTATTTTTCGATGCAAAATAGTTTCTATTACAGGGAGCGGACATTTCTGGTTATAAGATTTTGCCAAAAACGCTCGTTGGTACAATTTATTCTTAGTTCAACTAAGGTTAGTAAAGGGGTGAGTGTACGTATTTCCGCGCTCAAGAAAACGTGTGTGTATAATACACGACTGCCAAGATAGCGATGTAATAACCGGCAGAAAAAAATCTGTCTTTTGTAATGACGAATTGGGGGGGTCACAACACATTGACAATACAAGGATTCGCTCGTTGCTACATGAAAGGATTTTCAGTATTAATTTTCTGCAGGAATTGTCCCCAAATTGGCAAATTTTGATTCCTATTCGAAAATGGTGATTATTAGAGCCATGGAGTATTACGAAAATGGTGATCATTAGGATTGTTGCCTAGTAGAGTTGGAGTAAGGAGGTAAAATTTAAAAACACAATTTACTATTCCATTGTTTGCAAAACCAAACAATATTGTACATGAAACTTGCAACGATATACCTCTAAATTGCAGCAAAATAGTTGACTTTTTGCAGTGTCAATTAGGGGGAAGGGCTGAGAACGATTAGATTTAATGAGTATTTATTAACACAATTATTCATTGTGCACTTCATATTTATGACACTTCTGCTTAACCCTGCATCAACCCATGTGGGGGAGTTTCATGATTATTTTTCCGGAACGACAGAATTGTTCTTCAACTTTGTCGCCGAAGAATTAGTTTCGATGGCGAAGCACTAAAGACGATAACATTGTTCACGTCAATTTGACAAAACTTAGCTGGGTAGCGTTCCATCGAAAATGATTGGCCAAAAGTAATACTGAAGACGTAAAGATTTGCGTTGTACTGTAAACAAAGACGTCGCTTAGTGGGTCACAAAATGAAAGCGACCCGGCGAGGAAAGTTTTAAAAGTCCCAACACACTTTCACATTGTTTCGCCCGCTGATTTACGTGTTCCCTCGTAATATGACCAGTTTCCTTTGCTATTTCATTTATTAACTCTCGGTGTTAGTCTTAGGTCGGGTGATAACATCGCCAGACTGGTCTTAAGGCAAAACACGAGCGCAACGAATAAATTCTACAATCTATAAAAAAAATGTTGATATTTTAACACAAGTTTTAGTTTTTTGCGTTTTTGTTTCGTTCTTAGATGTGACATACACGAATGTAACATTAAAATGTATGATTTCCTTTAAATGTTAGAAAGTAAGACTATTAATCCATATCCACATGTGAAGATTGCGAGCAAAATCGGAGACGATTGATATTATCAATGCTCTGAGAGAGACATAAGATAAGTGTTAGTTTTATTCAGAAGGGAAATGTACTACGTTGTATAGAGAAATTTGCTATATGGCATTTCTGCCAAAGAGACGAGATAATTTATCTATTATCCCAGAATTGTGGTTGAAAAGATATTTGTGACAATTCGGTACAATTGAGACTAAAAATATGATTCTAGTATACCTCATGGACCTTATACTTATCTATACCTTATCATGGACCGTGATACGCATACTAGTGCGTGAATATCGCTCTTTCTCGAGTCCAATGCGTCTACGGCGACACGGAGACGTCTGGTTGGATGGTGAGGTAAAAGAGAGTTTTTGCACGTCGAAGAGCGGCTGCAATCGACAGCACTATCGATTTTCTGTGAATGCGCAGTTAGTTTCGCCTCACATTTAGTCATCTGCGCCTCGCGTTTGGTTAATCGTGACCAGCGCTCAAAGCCCAATAGTGCACTCAAAAGTGATACGAAACTCGTACTGCGCTTGCGCAGAAGATTTAGATTGCAGTCTATTTCTGTTCGCTAAGCCGTGCAAAAATCCCTATTATTAGGGTGTTTTTTTCTTTGTTTTGTTTTGTTTTTGTTTTTGTTTTTGTTTTTTTTGCTCGGGAAAGCATTACAGCAATTGAGAGCACTGTCGATCTTCTGCGCAAGCGCAGATCCAGTTTCGAATCACCGTGGCGCATCTGCTCTTCCCAGATCTAGATAGTACGCTATGCCATGCAAAAAGTCTCTATTAGTGGGCGTTGGGCGCCGGTTGCGTTTCGCATGCTGTGAACGTGAGTATACCGTCGCCTGTCCCGGTGACCAGCAGGGGACTGCGGCGACACGGGAACAACGGGTTGAGGGGGCGGGGCACCGGAAGGTCAACCGCTGAGGGCGCGCGTGAGTGGGTGAATATCGCGGCGGAAACGTGTGCCTGTGCAATTAACCCCCGCGTTTGCAGCGGCGGTGGCGGCGCGCGGGCGCACGGGGCGTCCGTCGCGTAGTTTACAGACGGTGGGGGGCGTGGCGCGGGAGTGGGCGTGGCGGGAGTGGGGCGTGGCGGGAGTGGGGCGTGGACGGGGAGTGGGGCGTGGCGGGAGTGGGGCGGTGGCGGGTGAGTGGGGCGTGGCGGGGAGTGGGGCGTGGCGGGAGTGGGGGGAGTGGGGCGTGGCGGGCGCCTGAAAGTTAGCGGGAATCGCCGCCAGCGCGCGGGTGTTGGTGAATAGAATTGCGGCGTGCTGGCAGGGGGTCTGCAGTAGAGACAGCGCTTGGTGTTGTGTTAAATGGAGTTGATGTTTGGAGATAGGATTTCTCGTCAGCGAAGGAGAGAGAGGTTTGACTAAAATGATTTGTGGGTATGCGTTTTGAACTTATGATAGGTTTTCGTGAAGGTTTCCTGCTGTATAGGTTTTCTTTCCTAAACGCGTTAACGTTGTTTTCAATACACAACTTGGCAAGAAGCTCGTAATTTTTCATTTGAATACTGCTTACTATAGAGGGCAATGCAGCCCTGTGAATGTATAAATGCAATGTGTAAATGCATGGAAAATAATTTGTATTCAATTTACCTATAAATTCAATGCCCATTAATATACTAGTTATATAAATATTTTCTACAATATATTCACAGACACAAAATTTCAACATTTGTGTTTTATACTCGCGTCAATAGAAGTCGCTCGGACATTCACTATTAAAAATGAAAAAAATAATTAACTAAGAAATACGAACTCAGGGGGAAGTGTGTGTAAACATGTTTTAGAAATTTATCTATTCTTTAATATATCCTTTTCATATGTTCTAATGAAGATTATCTGCTGCATTACTCACTTTAGTTTTATAATGTTCGCTGAGTTAAGAGATAGTGATGAGTTATGAAATGTATACTATAAAAAGGTACCCTAACTTATATTAATGGTCGCGTACCGAGGTCTTGACGTTTTACTTGGTACTTGTAGGAGATTGCGCTACGAAGATAGTTGATGCTTAGCCATTAACTGTCCGGGCGAATAACAACTCGCATTACACAAAGATAGCAGCTTTACATACAGGTTGGTATTTTAGTAATGAAATAAAATACGTTACGCGTTACTTTATTCGAACATAAAACCGAAAGAAAATAATGCTAATTTTTACAGCGGCAATTTGCTTCACTCTGTATGCTTCAAACATGCGCTTCCAAGCACCGAGCACAACTAAAAGCTCGAAACACGAACACTAAGTTTGACTGTGGAATGAGGCCATAGTATTTTGCTGAATGTGTTAATTTCATTGACAGCCTGGTTTACACGTATAAAATGAACCTTAGACTTGAAGTGTGCTATTTTACCTCGTTCTGTTGCGTTTGTGTAGCTTGTGGACTTCAGCAGTCATCCTTGCTGTGGTAAGCTTCGTAAAACGTTCAGTAAAATTGACGTATAAGCGTCAAAAGATTTTTATATATAACCCTTCCTGTTATAAATAGTAACGTAAGTAGTCTGTTGGTTTTATTCTTCTCTGGTGTGGCAGGTTTTGTACTTTCCAGTCGTTGCGTCACAATGATCCCAGTTGTGTTGTAAAATCTTTCAAATAAAACAATATTTTCAATATTTGAAACACGAAAGGGAACTCTAAGCGACACACATTTGTATTTGCCACAAGGCTACTCACATTGTTTTTTTTTAGAGGCATTTTATCACGGGTCTTGACGACTTCAACAACAAAAACTTCTCAACTTGTATTGGTTTCCAGAGCAATTTGACTGAACGTTTTCCGAAGTTCTCTCTCACTCCCTACGAAAAACTCATTTGTCAGAATTCAAATACTTACTGTGGTTGTGTAGCGAGTTAGGGATAGTTCTGTTATGGCCGCCGTCACGTAAAGGGGAACATTGGCACGACTTATTTTATTAGCCATTAATAAGGGGTGATTGATGTATGAAACACGTGTATTAAATATAACAAAAAGTTTGTACTCGATTATTCTTTGAATAATAAATTATTGACACTGCTGAATTTGCGATATTATGCATGGTACTATTAATATTGCTCACGGCAGAGATCATGTACTGAGAGTTCGTGTTAATTTGAGATTTATATATCTCCGTCGGTGAGCTGTGTTGAAAAGAGCTATGGATGGTCACTCTTCTTTCCACGGCGTCTTTTATTTTATTGTTATTTTTATGTTCTAGAGTTTTGGTATTGGGTTTCAAATCTCGGTCGCTCCATGAGAAATTTGTAATGTAGAAACCGGGTTGTGGGAGACTTGTCAGTTTCTTTTTGTCTGTTGTGCACTGAGCTCCGTCAGTGCACAAAAGTCCCTGTCTACATTACTCTCGTGTTATTTAAATGCGTATCATTCCAGGTAAGAGTTAAAACTTTGGAACGGAGAAATTAAACTTGAGTAAATCCTCTTGTACCACTCAAATTCCATGTTCAGTGTATTTTACAATATTTTCATTTTCTCTTCTGCAAACAGTAAAACTCACCTACCCTTTTCAGTGTCCTTCTTCATTTTCAGGTGTTCAATTTGATCACAAATTATGTATTTTATGCATATCGTCTTTTAATTAAATTTTCTCAAGCCCATTGTGTGGTGAAATTTCTTTCACATTTCTATTGACATTTACTTTAAAAATTCGCCCCCACATCTTGAATTCATTTCCCGGTTCTCTCTCCGTTCCACTTGGTTCGCCATATTCAAACCTACCTGCCTCATACTACCGCAGTAACCCCAAATACATACAACGTGTTATTGACACATCTTTCCTTTCCCTTTTCATGTCACACAGCACACAATTCTACATCATCTTTTATTCTACCTTTTCTGTTAATCTAACTAATTTATATTTCTGTTCGCATTCTGTCACTCTGTTGCCTCTAAGCGGGTTTCTTCGCCGTCTTATCTCAGCCCTCAACATCGCACCTCCATCTCTTCGCGTGTCACCAAATGTCCTTTACTTCACCGTCGAGTCTTTCGCCGCCATCCTTTACTCCCCCCCCCCTCAAAACTCACAACGACCTCACTCTCCCCAATTCGTTACACTTTCCTCCTCCTCCACCCTTCTTCTACTCCCGCTTTCATTACTTCTATCCTTCCTCCTTCACTCATAATTTTGCAACGAATCTCATGCGCTCCAATTCTTCACACCTTTCCCCCCAACGCTTCTTCTACCCCATTTTCCATCAGCGCTTTCCTTCCTCCACCATTCGTAATTTGACACCTTTTCCTCAACGCTTCTTCTACCTTCCTTCCTCCACCACTCGTTATTTTTCTTCGAATATCATCTCTCCAATTCTTAGCACCTTTCTCCCACCGTTTTTGTATGCCCTCTTCCATCGCTACACATTCGTAACTTCGCAACGATCGCCATGCACCGCTCGTCCTGCCTCTTCCAACCCCCCTACATTCACCCGCGTGTCTCAACGTCCTCGGCCCCTCCGCCGCCGCCGCCGCCGGAAACCCTTTGTTGCGCGGGCGCGCACGTGAACGAGACAAAGGCGCCTTCTTTTGAATGTAGCTCTAATTAATATTCCGCGGCCAGACCGTCCAGGGACCGGCGGCGGAGAGCGGTTGATAACACCTCGCAGCTTTCCCGCTCCCGCACGCGCCCCGTTTGCGCTGTCTCCAAGAGAAAGGCGGAGCGGAAGAGGAGGAGGCGACGGAGGCGGCTTTCAGAGAGGAGAGTTTTTCGTTGCATGGGCCTGGTCCTGAGGGGCTCTTTTTTCGCGAAGGATGAGCGACACTTTGCTCAATGGACACAGTGTTCTTCTCCGCCACGGGCATGTTTATCGCTGAACTCGTCGTTTTTTTTAGATCACTTAAATGTTTGGATATTTAAAAGTGAGAATATAACGAGATAGTTGGAGAAGTTTATTTGAATGTTTTTGGAAAGTTCTGTGACGGATCGTAAATGCCCAAGAAACCAGTTTGTTTTATGTATCTAAAAATGATTTATTCACGTACTGTTTGTGTGTTGTAGATACTTCTGGCAATCGGGTTGTTGCCCGACAATGCTCATCCTCGCCCAATGAGTCAAAGCAACTGAAGAACTACATCAGAAGTGTTCACGGCTCAGACCTCACGGTGTTGAAGTTTGAAGTGTGCAACACTGACCTGTGCAACGTCGTCGTCCCTCGCCCACAGTCTTCGGATTCTAGCGGTGCTGTTTCTATGGCGGCATCCTCCCTCGGCCTGAGTTTGGCTTTGGGAGCGTTAGCAGCCCACCGCCTGACCGTTTGAGCGCCGCCTCTTCAAAAATGTGTCCGTTTACTTCAATGTCTGATTTGCGATGTGGTGCATTTTCGTGTTATATGTACTTATTGCCATTTCTCGCATTCGATGTGTCGGTTTAATGTAGCTCCATACACTCGGCGAGTAGCGAGCCGATCACGAGTAGTAGAGATGCTGGGCGAATTTTCGATTCCTCTGATGTGTCCAAAAGAACTCAAAGCGATCAGTTGGGCGAGCCCCGAATTTCGTTGCTCGGCAACCAGCACGCAATCAATCTCTACTAATTGGGACTCGGCGAGCGGTTGCTGGCTACTCGCCGAATACTTAATGTGTGATGTCACCAAAACGGATCCATTTTCATGTTGAATTTTTATTTTGTTTGAAATAAATCTTAAGAGTGATATGACAGTATTACATGATTTGAAAACGAAATATCATTTTTGTGTATGAAGTCATTTTCCTATAAGTCATAATTAACAAATGGAGAATACCTAATCGAAATTTGAAATAAATAATTAGTATTTTCATTAGAAAATTCAGAGACCAAAGTTGAAAGTCTAACACATTTCAGCAAGATTTTTCAGGTATTTTTTTTAATCGAGAGAAGTTAAGTAAAGGTGTGTTGGTCTTCAAAATGTCACATTCTAGGTGTAAATTTGTAGGTGTCACATTGTAGGTGTCATATGCTTTTCTTCTTAACTATTGTGATTTTATCTTTTTCAAACCTGTTATTAGTCTTAGTAGGTACCTGCATGACCAATTAATTTATATGACCATACGAGTTCAAGATACAGTACAATTTTTTCTCCTGTTAGATTTTTTAGTGAGAAGACAAACAATAAGGATTCAAATAATTTATATAATTGCAAACCAAGGCAATTATTTCAGAAATAACTGTCCTCTTCAATGGCAGCAGCATCTTTTATTAATGGATTTTCTTTGATTACATTACTAAAGTAAAAACTGAAACCATTTAGAATAACCATGGTAGTGCAATTTCAAAAAGGTAATAAAATATGCTGAAGATTTTGAATGAATTATTCATGTTTTTGCACAGAGACCTTTACCTTCGTTCTCCACAAAATAGGCTCCCTATTCAAGAAACATAAATGTATTTAATTTTAGTGTGAAATAAACTTTTAATTTATACTCATTCTTTGGCTAGATTAGATGTGATGATGCGCAATACTTAGTTCCTATGCATGCTTTACCTAATTTGTTGTCTACAAGATAAAGTATGTTCTGTTTTTTATTTTTTTATTTTAATGTAATATTATTGGTGTTTAACCCAATTTATTATTATATTAATTAGAAAAGCTAAAAGGCCTGATGAAAACTTGTTTTGTTATCAGTATTTTAAAATATAAAAAAAGTGTTACAAATAAAGTAGTTGGCAAACATATTGACAATATTAACGAGTATTATCAACTCATAAAATGGGTTTTTCAGTGTGAAATGTATGGAAGATATAAGTAGTGAACTTACAAAGTAAGACCTAGTTCTCTGATATATCAAAAATAAACAATTTCTCAGAATTTCGTTGTCACCTGATCAAATTCATCCATGTCGTTTCTATAGTGTGAAATAATGAATGTAGAATTTACTTAAAATTGTTAAAAGCTTTCCAGATAATGTTTAATGTTATATTTCAATGTCAGTGTAATTTGAAACGCTTACTTTAGGAACAAAATAATATTCTGTCCAAAGTAATAATAATATTAATAAATAATAATAATAATAATAATAATAATAATAATAATAATAATAATAATAATAATAATAATAAATCATAATTATAAATAGAATGTACTAATATTCTGCTATTCTGCCCCTCTTTACGCCTGCACTCGTCAAAATTGAAAGTTAATGGAAAAACAGTTTCTTTGGGAATGTTTTTTGTTTGTTTTTTTTGTTTCCAGTTGTACCTGGCTATATGTTGTACATTGCTTAATGTGTTATATGTCCCAGTTCAAATAGCTGTGTGATGCGGTGAAAGGTTCTCATGGGTATAGAATGCTAAAAGAATGAGAGGTTGTACCTGCTTACCACATAAATGTAGCTTCACTATGCACATGTTTTGTTGAGCTCCCTTTTTGTTTATAGTGGTAGGAGTAGAGCTGGGAGTATATTTACTATTTTTTTTAGCAATGCAAAAAACATTAAATATGCAGTTCATTACCAATGCACAAATGTTTTTATGACTTTAAACAAATTCAGTCACACATAATGTGTGGTAAAAATTAGTTTTTCTTTTCCTAGTCTTTCCTCTCACTGTTAGTGAAATTGCTTAGAACAGTTCGAATATGATATACGTTGTTAGTTGCAATTACAAATTACTTGACAATAATTGCTAAAATATGTTAAAGTCGGTTATATAAACTTTAGGCTTAAGTTGTTTTTTTTAACAGAAATATAGAAATATTAAAAATAAATAACATTCAAATTCTTGATCAGTCTTAGTTTCCACTAATTTCTTATAATGAAGACAGCACATTGTCTGTTTAGGTATGATTGATTTTTTTGTAGAGAATTTTTTTTCATGTATCTAAATTTGAATTCTATTTTCATGTTTCGATTTATTAATGAGAAACACTGGAAAACTTCTTTAACTCGCTTTTACTCCTTACAACAAAATTAGAACACTTACTGATTTGTTTTGAATGATTTTGTTATTTACAGAATAAAAACTTAAGAAACACTATTTTAAAATAAGCCTAAGCATTGTGTGTACAAGTAATTATATTTTACTGTTAAATTTCTGAAGTCATTCAAAGTTATATTTATAAATATCTTGATCTTTAATTTAAACTATGAAATTGTATATTTAAACTGCTGAATTGAATTCATTAAACTAGCATTCTCTGGAGTAAAGTACTTGTGTATAGAAAAGGAATTGTTGTATTTTCTAGGTCTTCCACAGTGAGAGTTTATCTGAAATATATAATTCTTTGGTTAATTAAATTCTCCTAAGTCTTAATTAAAACTTGCTTGCATTATCCATTTATATTTTATTGAACTTTAGAACAATGTTCTCAAGAAAATTTTAATTGCAAATACCATTTGAATTTGCAAGCCTTCATATTCAGACCAACTGATTGTGTACACCTAATGTCATTATATATTAATAGATTACTGAATATAAAACAAGGTTGTGGGAGATAAATAAGTATTACTAATGTGTAAGAAAGTATTTCCAGATAATTGAGTAGTAACAGGAATGAAAGTTTTTATTGGCCTAGTCTGAATACATACTTGGCTCAAATGTTCATGATGGGTACTATTGTTGTATATTATCCTTGAAGTTAGTTTAGATAAAGCTATTTTAAAATTGGCACATTCAGTTTTGTAATTATTAATTATATATTCAATTCATTCAATGGCATTTACTTAAATATGTTTTTTATTAAATGTTTCATTGCTTTGTGATAATAGTGTAAGTGCCAATTTGTTTGTGATATTGGGCATCACTAATGTTACATGAGAATTGTTTTGAAAATAATTAGTAATTATGAGGATGTAATAAAGTAAATGTTAATTTATTTTCAGAAAATATACTTCTTGTTAAAATGGAATCTTTATTATGTCGCCTCATTTATTTTTTCATGTAAATAGACAGTCAGTCCTCTGTTTGGGAGGACAGTTCTCCAATGTTGAACTCCCGACCTCCATTTGTAAATAAGAGTTATCTTTTGCATTCACATTAAATAAACACTTAAATATTTTACAGTGGTTCATCTTGACATTTTGCCTAGTCGTTAATTTATTCAATATCCGCGCTTATCTTTGAGAAGCATTGACAATTGAAATTTTCGAAATATTTTTCATAGGGTGTTCTGTAATCAAACATTTATTTTCCTGGTAAATTATCTCCACATTCTTTTCAATGAATATTTTGAACACCTTACGCTTTTATTGAAATTGATATTATTATAGAATTATTTGATTCGTAGTTCCTGTGACCAATGGCGGATCCTGAGAGACATGGGAGCCTTGACCCCCCCCCCCGCCACCAAAACAACATCAACATAGAAATTGAAAGAAGTCTCGGAAGATTTTTTTAAATATTTGGCGTATCATTTTGGTGTCTTTCAATTTCGGCTGGTTCCGCAACAAATTGGGGGTTACAGCTCTATCGAATGAAGGAAATATAATTTCCAAAATTCAGAACACTAATATAATAAAACTTAAGCAATTCTACTTAGATTTTACAAAGTTATTGCCTTGCCAATATTGCATTTTGGAAGTGAGCTGGACATTAACATCTGATCATCTGCGGAGAATTTAATCTGCAGAAAAGAGATTTCTTCGTTTTGTGGCAGGATATTCACTATTAGACCACAAAAATTTTGTATCACAGAAGAATTAAATATTGAGCATGTTGTGGACATCATAAAGAAATACCGATAAAACTGGAAAGGTCGTGTCTTGGGAATGTCAGAACATAGGATAAGTAAAAGTATTCTTCAATACGGATATGAGGGAAAAGAAGTGTAGAACTGCCCTTGAAAAGACTGCATGAACAATTTCGAGACGGAACAAATCAAGAGGGCCAATCCTTGCTGTCGATGACATAAACAATTCATTTAATTTAATTAAAACTTTAATAAAGTATCTATTACGTAATTTTATGCGTAAAACGATTACGTAATTTTGTGCGTAATGACTGTGTCACGTAAGTTGGCCTCCAGCGAACATGGTTCTGGCTTTGATTTCCAATAGACATTCGAGGTTTTGTGTTAGTTCTGCATTGAAGCAATTGCCGGTTCTAGAGTTCTTACAAAGCAACGAACTTCTTTTCGAAAATACAGTGATCGCACTGCAGCATTTTGCAACAAGAACTGTTGTTTGGACACGTTTTACACTAGTTGATTTATGATCGTAGTTGTTTTTGTTGCTACTAGTGCGGGGGACTATACTTTTCAGTGTGCCGACGTATATCCTAAAGGCCTCAATCTTCCTAAATAGAAAGTAGAGGATAATTTAGCCATCGAACATTGTTGTTATTTATGTACATGCATTGTGTATATTTCCAACCTATTTCAAATACTTCTACTACAATACAGTCCCGAGAAAACTACCACACCAACAAATCAAGAACATTGAAAGTATAATCAATACGTTCTAAAGTGAGTCTGTCAACTGTCAGAGATTAATACATGGAAGACCGCCTTGTTTCATACTTTGTGGAGAATATTCAAACTTTCATTCCTTTAGTTATCTATTGATAATTCGTTTTGACTTAATAATTTGTTCTCTTCCACTGAATCAAAGTCCACTACCCTGAATCAAAGATTACTTTATATGCCCCAGGATAGACTTCCTTTCATTCTCCACACACCGTAAATCCTTGCTTATCCTTAGTTTTACAAATCATTTTCTGTATAAGATCAAAACATTTCAAGACAAAATGTGTACTGTACTTGAATGAAAAGTCAATGAAGTTTGTTAGTTTATTGTTACAACTACAATAAAGTATGTTATTTTGAAATTCAAACAAATCAAAATTTCAACCGGTCTTCAAATCCTAAAGTTTCTACCAACAGAAAATTAAATTCTCCTACGACGATGCGTCATGGAGGGACTAAGTATTGGCTGCTCAGATGGGAGATACGTATGACAGACACGATGCTGTCGGAGAACCATGTGGTCGACGACGACCGGTCGGACCTTGTCGCGAAAAGGACTAATTCAAATATATTTTCAGAAACTGTGCCCTTGGCGCGACAAGAAAGGCTTAAGGAGAGGTGGTTTGAAAAAAAAAGAATAATTAACGAACACGTATACGCCAACCATCTCTCCTTCGGCTATCTACCGGTCGGTCGCTTGCCTGCCTGTGGATGTGGTGAAGTGTGATGTCCGGAATTTGACGAGGCTTTCCGGAAGCTGACCTCTGGCGACGAAGAGAAGAAACTACGTCAACTTACAGTCGCCGAGACGGTTACCAGAAGCGCAGTGTTATTACCGCCCAGCGGCCTCATGCCCGTGGGATTTAAACTCACACGTTGTGCTCCACGAGCTGCAGGCAGAACCTGCAATGAAATAATTTCGCCTTGCGGGCTCCATCATTTACCAAAATTGTCCGTTACAATCGGACTCTCTTTTGCATCATATTGAACACCTTTTTACTTGCATCTAGAGTGCGAATTGACATGGAGATACCGGGGACTTTAACGTGTCTCTCTAGAGAGTCGTCTACTGTTTACGTCTTCTGTTAGACAGTATCAACTTGTACCTGATAGGAACACACTAATTAATCCATACCAATGTGCCTAATTTATGATATCAATTCTTTGAAATGTTCAAATTAAGAAATTCAAATCAAGAAAATAGGAAAATAAGGATTGTATATTATCCCTTATCAAATCTCATGCGGAGGAATCGGCTCACTTCGCCGAGAAAACGAGAGAGTTGAGGCTCCTGCCTGCGATCTCCTGACTCAACGATTACCATAAAACAACTTTTACTTTGTGAAGAGCATTATTTCCAATGCATTTTATGCCGAAAAACTTTGTTGCCCAATATCACGCGTTCCGCTTTGACCCTCCACATTCGCCACATATAGAGTGGATTCATTCGCAGGGCACGATAAGGGATAAGACCTGATAACTTTCTCAAAAGTATTCTTCGAATTTGTTTTGAATGTGCAGCGTAAGTGAAGCTAATGTTTGATTGACACGTCGGTCTTTTTCCCCGTGGAGATTTGAATATCCCCTGTTGGAAAAA